AAAATTTCATTTGTACACTGGAATGATGATAGTACATGTCATTACAGCTAGCTCTTGTAAGTGCATCGGTTATGGACTTTCAATCCGCAAGCGGTCTGATCAGGTATAAGTCCATCACAGACCATGTGAACTATTGTGCATTGAAAGAAGTTTCCGGTTTCATTTGAGAATGAAGGACCATGAAGGACCTATTTACATATCGGCTGTTGTTCATCGGCATCGGTTCATTTTATGCGATACCACCTCGAACTCGAACCTTGTCCCTGGTACCCCAAGAATCCCATCTTGGCCATGCCCGGTGCCCCTCGCAGGTGATGGAACTGCTTGGGTTGCACAAGCTGCAATCGACGATGTTGCGTCTGCAGCTCCTTGGCCATGAAGTGGTGTGGGGCGAGGGGATGGATCCGATTTGAAGTTGTTTTTTGCTGAAAGTTCTTGTAAAATAATAATAAGCAGTCAAAACCAGGACTGGGTTAGGCAAAGGAACTTAGCTAGCTATGCATGCGTGCAAGGCTGAAGTTTGTGACTTCAATGACAAAGCTCGGTTTGACTGAGGTTTCAAGTGTCTCCAGGGCAATCTCGAATGCACGGTCCCATCTGAAGGTTCCTTCTCTAAATTACAGTGATGTCCGTTTTTGTGTTGATAGGTTCCAACGACTTTTCCGAAATACTACCATGAAATTGATGTGATGCGCAACCCTCTGCAACTTGAAGTTGTCTCTCGAATATTTCTGGGGCGAGTTGAAAGACCGATTCGTATTGAGGAAGCTGGTGATTCATCAGTCCACCCTTGGAGCCGACGAATGACTACCTTTTCTGGCTGGAATACTAGCAGGGATTTTTGGAGGTTTGCTCGAACAGGCATTGCTTCTTGGCACTTAAATTTTAAATTAGCATGATTGAGGTCACCAATATAGGCCACCACTGCACTTCAGAACCGTTTCACGGACCAGAGTCGAGTTTTGCTTTATTTTATATTGTTTGATATGCTCTGCAAACATTTGCTGCCTTACACATCATCTCTCTTAGGAAAGCCATAGGATCAAAGTTCCCTTTAAATGCAAGAAGAGTCCTCTGTGCTATGTCATTGAAGAACTTGAAGTGCTCGACCCCTTATCCGTGATCGACTTTATCTTCAACAAGGTCGGCATTTCGATCAATGACCAAGATATCAAAGATTACTGGGGCCACTACCGGTCTGAAGAGATCTCTGCAAAATGGGCATGTGAGCACCCTGCTAGCAACAATTCGATACCTTGTGGTTTATACGGCGATGGGTGCAAAATTCGTGAATATCAGAAGATGGTCGGTATTTTCCTCAACCTACCACTATTTCGACCTCGTAGCATCAGATGCTCTAGGTTCCTCCTTGTTGCGTTCCAAGAGGAGCTCGTGTTCCAAAGGAAAACCCTGGACGCGATTTGGCGTCATATCGTATGGCGGATGAATTTGCTGTTGAGCGGCCGGTGGCCAAATTGTGACATTGATGGCCATCCTCTCTCGGGTCCTCAGCTGTCTCGAGCGGGGCAAGAGGTTGTCACAGGAAAGACCTTTGCAGTCACAGAGCTGAGGGGTGACTGGTTGTGGCTGAAGCAATGCCTATCCTTTAGATCATCGTGGAAAGGAGGTGTGCATGTACCCGTCTGCTTCATGTGCGAGGCTGGTTCAAACGAACCCTTCCTTTACTACAACGTACAAAAGGATTCCAATGTATGGGACACGGAGTACTCCACTTTTGCTGATTTCTTGGTGATGCAAATGCCTCAACAACCAAGCTACTAGGCGGCGCATACACATGCATGTGCACTTGTACCGACTTGTACAATGCATAATTAGGCTCATTTGTCAGTGTATATATACATGTGTGACGTTTGATATTGTATGTTTGGGGTGGTGATCTTGGGCTGAGCAACGTGCACATCTTAGGTCCACTCATTGCCCTCAGAGGATTCAGACAAGATCTGATTCGGTGGTGCAGCATGCATGTGATCAATTTAGGGCTGCTATATGGAACAAATGCGAGCGCACTGTGACTCGCCAAAAATACTTTTAATTTATAAGTGATATATCAGATCATATCGATCGATCTAGATCCGTCGGTTATAAATTCAACGGTGTTTCGATCGTCGCCAACTCGCCAAACGACTCAGGGTGATGCTATGTGAAGACAAGTTCTTTGACGGCGACAATTTCCGAGAGCAACTTGAGAGTGCATATGATGACTTCAAGAGCTTCACGAAGGCAAAGAAAATCTCCCACTCTCAGAAGATGTTCACCCCTCGATTGGTGCCCAAATGCAACTTAAATGTTTTTGGTCGTTTTGATCACCAAATAAAATCCCTATATGGGGCACCTCGTGACTAGATGGAGGTCTTCAAACCAGTACTATGCATGTGCGTGTGCATGCAAAAACAACAGAAATCAACGTGTTTTGTTCGTAGTTCCTCGTTCTTTTTTAGGGTGGTTGATTTGCACAATTAAGGTGGTAAAGAAAGACGGTCAACTCTTGATGACTGGCAAAGCCTATAACAACCGGGTCATTGCTGAATGGCTGCATGACGTCGTGCAGCGAGCTCGTGGGAGTTCAACTGACCCAAGAATGCCTCTTGCTTACCTGTGCATGATCCTTTGATCAACCGGACCCCTTTTTGCTATGGTTCATGATCATGATCATGGGTTCCCACCTAAATAGTTGTTCCGGCCTGTGCCAACCAAGATCCACCGTCCGATCCATGTATCTCAGGAATGGCATTGCCCGTTTCTTTGGCATCATGGAGAGATCCCCGCGGTTTTTGTCACTGGTTCTGCACTGGCTGATTTCGAGTGGGGATTTTCTATCGTGCCAAGTAGAGGACACATCACCGCAGCACTAATTGCTCAATCAAACTTGATCTAGTCCTGCACGTGTGTGACTATGCCCATGCATCGGTGCCAACATTGTAAGGTCTCAAGAACAAGCCAAAGACTTGGATGATGCTGGTATGCAGTACCTAGATGGGCACATCAAACTCGCCCGCATGTCCTTCCAGAAACTTTCCAGCACTGAGGATACCATTATTGCGTGTTTCATGAGGGGGGGTGTTGGTCTTTTCAAGCGTGACTAATTGGCAAGCATCATCAACATCCGTTGTAGCCTGACCCCCCAAGGATGGACAAGCCCCACTTCATACTTCGTCCAAAGATCCATGCACTGTGGCTGCAAGGATGTACAGCAACACCAGTGTGCAGAACCAACCAGCGCCAGTGAAGCCATGCATGACTCTGGACTCGTGCGATGTTAAGTTCACCTGTAATTGTCCTTTATTTGGTAAGATCAATGTGCACTTTGTCTTCGTTCGCAATCAAACTCTGCATGCTAACATCATGGAATTGAAGTCCTTTAATTTATAAAGTGTTCTTGACTACTGAGTTGGTATTGTTATTCCAAGAAATTGACACGGTCTTGAAATGCCTGATTGGTGCTGTGTGAATCGAGGCAATGGGTCATATCTTGAAAACTGTCCGGGAGCATCGCCTTTCAGCTGCAACACACCGTTTCATTTTCAAGAAAATGCCTCACGGGTTTAACGTTGACAAACATGTTAACCAGGGAGTCCTGGAAGTATACTTAGCCACCACCACGTTAGGGCCACTTAGCTGCGCTGGTATAGCGCTATTTTTTGAACCAAGCTCAGCCCAGGTGAAAACCCTCGCTTTGTTCATTGCTTTCACGACGAGGATGCTATGATGTGGTTGAAGCGTGCCTGTACTGCATCATCATCTCGAACTTTCTTAGGGGGCAGGTGGAATCAAACAATATAATCTAATCTCACAACTGACGGTCAAGTCTCGCGTATCGAATACAATCTAAAAACTGGTTTATCGATTTGTTGTGGCCCAGGAATCACACTAAAAGGTCATCAACATCCCGGGAAGCAACGCACTTGGTGCCTGAAGCTGTCCAGGCTCAGGACCGGGGGTCAGATTTGTACGCCCGTGCCCTTGGGTGACATGTGAGAAGGTTTGCAAGGTAAGAAAGGTGGTGGCCCAGTTTTTGGTCCGTACACTATAAACGTACGATGTGGTTTGAGTTGTTCTGATAGTGTGGTATGGCGTTCAAAGGTGGGTCAGGCCACCAAATTTGATCGAAGTTGCTTTATTTAATTTGTGATGCTTTCCATTGCTGGCAGGATGCTGTCTATGCAATGGAGGGCGCGTGAGTTTCTTTCATAAACTTGGTGCTGCACCCTGCTGTGTGGTTTGTTTTTTGTTTCTGTGCAGCAGCAACTTGAACTAAAAGCTTTGGTTTGATCGAACCAAGGCTGAACCAGTCCTCATCTGCACGCGCAGGTGGTGTGAAAAGAAAAGGTGCATCCGGAGACATGAGACTGGGTATACCGGTCAACTAGTACATAGGCAAGGGGGCGTGCGTGGTCAGCGTGGTCGGGGCGTGGTGGCCGTGGTCAAGGCAAAGTTTCGTAGTTGCCCTAACGTGGTGGCAAAGTATACTCCCAGGACTCCCTGGGAGTATACTGGATCTTACTAGGCTAAAAGCGTTTGAAACAGCCATATATAACATATATTATATTAATAGCTGCAATATATATATATAGCTTGTTTCCGAGCTGATTCGGCCCAGTGAGGAAAGTGCAAACTCTTAGCTTTGCTGGAGCCCACTCAGCTGATGTGTTTCTTGTTGCCACATGTCTCAAGAGGATGTAC